ATATATTATATATATTCATCCCAAACCAATTAATATGAGTATCCTTGGGGCTCTAGAAGCATTGAGGCATGTCAGAAAAAGGCTTCAAAGTTCAATGAAAACAAGACAAACGATTCATGTTAGCCTAATTTAAGCTCCAATACCGACATAGTAATAATGCTAAATTATTGCTATGTTTATTATGTATTATAGACAGTGAGAATATTATTATTATTATTATTATTATTATTATTATTATTATTATTTAGCATGCAAATATAGGGGAATATCTATGGTGCCCGTGGTGGGCGGTTGGAGGTAAAAACCTCGACTCTGTTTCTTATCTGGGCATGTTGATAGCGAGACCAATCAAAAGGAACCTCCTGAGGAGCGTTCGCTAGGGGACAAGCTGCGGAGCTTGAGAAGGGCCATAAACCTTAATTAAGGGGAAGTTATATACGTTATTTTGTGGTGACATATAAACTTGTACCAGGGGAAAGGGGTAGAGAGAAATAGAGGAATTAAGCACTATAATAGAAATAGTGTGAAGTTAACATAAGTTCATATCATCTTTGTACTATTACCAAGTCTATTTTATATATTCTAGTGCTAATATTTAGCACTACGTTGTAGAAACAACCATTTCCTTTGGTATAATTCAATGAAAGGCAACTTAAGTCTTAACCAAGCAAATGAACTCAAATTTTCTAAGCTAGATGCATTTCCCAATAACAGTCACGATTAACTCAATAAATAAAATATGATGTTGAGAACATATAAAACAATAGGGAACAAATCAAGTACCTCCTCCACAGTCTTTCTTGTGATTTTAGATGACAATTTTGGTGCAGCAGCAACTTTAGTGCTGACACTTGAAGTAGTTCTACAGGACAGACAGAAAAACATATCAAAAACACCTTTCCATGATTTAATAACGAATCCTTGTAAATTAACAACTCAAAATGCAAATAGAAACAATATAAATTGCAGAAATCAATGTGATTTAACAAAGTAGGAAACTAGATAAATGCAATTGCAAAGAGAAACAATATAAATCAGGTCCCTACTTGAGGCCACACTCCCTTATGAGGCAAGCAGCTCATGATTTTGGATTAGAGAAAGATGCTATGCCATGCAAATGCATGATAAGGAAAGAAAAAATCTCATGATGGCAGTGTCAAAATCAAGCGAATTATGAAATCTGAAAAAGTAGAAAAGGTAGAGACACATACATGAAGGATTGAATAAGGTTCAAATCAGTATATTGTTTCCAATGGTTTTGTTTTGTATCAACTATCAAATGAACGGGACTATTACAATACAATGAATTCAAAAATGAAAGATTGAATAGTTCCATCCACACTAGTTTCCACGATTGGTTTGTTTTTATGTAAAACTTATACAATGGTACTATTCAAAACATAGTTATATGCACGGGAAGGAAGGGAAAAAAAGATAAGAAAAAGCCTAGCAATTTAATTACTTCTTTTTGTTTCCATTTGCTTATACACACTACTCTCGAATTATTTTTCATTTAACCACACCATCAATCGAGCAAGAAGTGATAACTTCGAAGATATATATATATATATATATATATATATCCCTAGAGAAGATCTTGGGCCTATATAAGATTAAGATATTACTTATTAGTGATAATTAGGATACCTGGTGAAGTTAAGCAAAAATTTAGGATATATGGATTGAGTGAATATATAAATAAAATTTTGGATAATAATATATTAGTGAGTGGTAATAGAATGCAGATAGCAGGCAACTTTTCAGCGCTCTGTCTCTCACACTCACTTTCAAGGATTGCTCTGGTTATAGGCAAATGGCATAAAACGTTAAAACTTGAACTACGGGTAGTGACAAAAAATGATGGAGCTTTCGAGTTCTAATCTCATCCTAAGATAAACACGAAAACAATTCTATCTCATATTCGATTAGTACAATCACATATCCTATGCATTTTTTCAGTTTACTACCGTGAAACACATCCCTAACTACCTTCAAAGCCTTGAACACAAATTCAGGCAAAATAGTATCAAACAAAACATGATAAAAAAAACAAACTCTTCTATTGCAAAATAGAAAAATAAAGACTCACCGAAGATCAAATCCAGACAACGAGCATTACTTTCGAAAGGACAAGAAGGCCACTTCTCTCACTGAAACCAAGCAGCGCCTCAATAAAGAGAGGTTCGAAGTCTAGGGTTTGTTTTTGCGTTTAAAATGCTTCTCATTCTAAAATGCTTCCCCTCATTTTTCCATTTCACATTATACGTTCAACACTCTTAATGTGTTTTCAAAAAAAAATTTTATTAGATTTAATTGCTATTTTAATTTGTGCTTGTGAAAAAGAAAAAGAAAACCAAAAAGTTTTCTTTGTAAGAAAGAGGGAAATGAAATAATTGGAGGAAAATAAAAAAATATATTTTAATTAATTAAAATAATATTACCAAGGGTTTCTAAAAAACACTTAGCACTTTCTTGGGGTTTGAAATCAAACCTCTATAATTTAACTAGGGTTATTAAAACCCCCGTATACATTTACAAAGGTTATAATAATCCCAGTTAAAAACATAAATTCTTGTAGTGAATAAGGCATATTAATTGCACGAGTCTCTCTCTCTCTCTCTCTCTCTCTATATATATATATATATATTGA